GAGTGATCTTACCACTCTATTGGCAATTGACATTACGATAAGAAGTTTGCAGAGGTTTTGATTTTACTATATATCTCAGAAAATACGTATTTTATTGTGTCTGAAGTAAAGCTTTACCATTTTTGATGACTTCTCATAGGCCAACCTTTATATAACGAAATGGATCAGGTTTTAATATCAAGGACAATGCATTTTAAGAAGTAGCTCAACTCAGATCAGTAAAAACGTCAAGATTCGGTTCAACATTCCGGTGAATAGAGCAAGCGGTGTAACTCATTAACATAAGATAATATATTCATTAGGTAGCTAATGAAGAATTTGGGGAGACTCCACACCACTGTGGAACATCCATGTCTTATTTGTTTGAAAGTCCATCTCAGAGGCTATTTTTATTCGCTGTGATTTAGCACAGTATCCTCTGGGTGATAGTTGAGGAAACAGATGTTGGGAATCTCTCGGGCCAGTTCCTGAGAGCAGGGCTCTGACTCACCCGCGCACCAGCGCCTTTGTACTCACTGGCAGAGGGGGTGGAGCGGAGCGCGAATGGCTGTCTGGTTTCCAGCCGCTTGCTGCCAGTTTCCTCAAAGTTTCCATTTACGCATTTGCCTCCCTTTCGAACTTCTTTTGAAGTTCCCATTCCAAAATCCTGGAACGGCCTGTTCCCAGGATACATTTAGGTTTAAAAAAAAAAAAAAAAAAAAATCACCCGGTGGGGATTTTCCAGCTGAAATAAAATATAAATCAGAAAGAAGGGAGGAGGTATTCTTTTTTTTTTAAGAGTTGTCCCTTCACTGTCCACTGGTGCGCTGTTCTGATACTTGCAGAAGACAGATATAGATATAAAGAAATTGCTAAAGGTTCTCCATAAGCAATAAACACATTTTCTTGCGGAGAACCTAAAGTGTCCTATACACTATTATTTATCATGAAAGGATCCAAACTAATATAGATCTGCATCTGTTTCTTAAATGTCCACAAGGTATAAAGCCTTATTCTTTCTTCGTGCATCTAGGCTGACAAGAATACAGGGGGCGGAAAATCTGTGAAGCTTAAATACCTTTTGGAATGAATTTAAAACAGAAGCACAAGCTACGTTATAGATTAAGAGTTCAGTTTCTCAGGGCAGTGGTTTCTTTTCAAACTATTATTTTACAGAGAAATTAAATTGACTGGCCAGTCTATGTTTTTATGAAGTTTTTTTAAGCTAGTTCTACTGTATTCTATTTAAAGCAAAAGCACCTATGAAGGTAATTTTTAAATTTTAATTGTATGTGTACCAACTCCCCATTATGTACTGCAAACATGTACTAATAAAATTTTTGAGATGATATGAATAAATTTTAATTTTATGTAATCAGTAGGATTTTCTTGGCAAGTACCACTGAACTGCCTAAATGTGTACTTATTAATCCTGTTACTTCGTGTGATTTAATGATAGCCAGGAATAATTGATTTAAGCTATTTTACATTAGGAAAATGCAACAATTGTTACTGCCTTTCAGATAAAATGAGTTTAAATGGATGAATTAGGTCTCACAGCATAACTGGAACACCTTCCGGAGACACATTTGTGCAAGACAAGGCAACAAGTCAGTCGGCTAATTTAATGGAAATTTGTCAGTTCTCAGCATGAGGGGTGTGTGGAGAAAGTATTCATTTGTTAGCATGTGGATCCAGCAACCTCCTAAAGACTAAATTATTGCTTTCTATTATAAAGACACCTAATCAGGGGGCTGGGGTGTATCTTAGTGGTAGAGCATGCATTTGACATGTGCAAGGCCCTGGGTTCTATCTCTAAAACCAAAAAAAAAAAAAAAGGACACTACCTATTGTCAGGGTGACCAACATCTTTTTCTCTTTAATAGCCTCATTCATGGATTGGCCCTCCTCACTAACATCAAATAAATATTTCTTACCAGCCACAAAAAGAAAATATATCGCACCAAATCAGTAACCTTCTAGAGGGAGATGTGGCACTTTGAATGAGGAAGACCTCATCAATGAAAAAAAATTTGATGAGATTCCCAAAAGGAGCAAAGAACCTTAAAATGAAAGAGAGTTTCCAATGGGCTACAGCGTAATCTTTAGGAAGTGCTACACAGCAAGCAACAAGTCAACATGAAAGGTGCCATTTAGGACTAAGGGTGTAGCTCATTATATGAAGTTCATTCTTAGCATGTGTGAGGCTCTGTGCCCCATCCTTAGCACCAAAACAATTCTAAAAACTCATTCCCCAATAATATTTTCCACAGGCATTAAAAGAAAACCATGCAAAAGGGGGGAAGGTAATAATGATGATGCTGAACTACTTTTATAGCTGCAGAAAAATAACTGTTGTTTAACAGTTACACTCTTACACTCTAAGCAGGCACAAAAAGGCCAAGTAACCAACTGATGCAGTCAGCCACTTAAGCAGAGAACGATAGTCGAGACTACCGTGTAATCTAAATAACTATTCAGCCTCCCAAGTAAATTTACCACTTACAGAAACATGAAAAAAGATCAGATCAGTAATATATTTATGGTGACACAGCGTAGAGAAGGGGAAATTTTTTTAATTAATACATCAGCGCTGGCATATGGACCATAAAGCTAAAATCCCTCCAGTGTACACAGGTATAATTGCTTAACTTCAAAGACTCAAGCAGCATTCCCAAAGCTAAGAAACTCTCATTTACAGGTTTCCCTGGTCCCACGAAGAGGCCTAATCAGTACAACATTAAAGGTCAATTCTCTAGCACCTCAAGAGTTAAATTCTTTGTTGTGAATAATTTTGAAAAAGTACCCCAGTACTCAGGCTTAGGTTAGCTCAGCAAGAGGAACTGTTCATAATGAGGCTTGGCCTCACCAGTCCCAGCAGAATTAATTTTGTGCAGTGGAACACCTAGATAAATTAGTTTTGCTTTAAATATTGAGTCCTAAAAGAGTTAAAAGAGGGAGAATATCAATCAATATTTTTTAGATTAGCTACTTTGTATATGACAAAACAAAATTAACTTTAGCGTTATAACTCCTTCCTCTGGCATTTCTGATGAACTCCGGATTTAAATTAAATAATTAGAGATTTTAAAAACAACCAAACATGTGCATTTATTTCTTGGTACAGAATACTAATTCACTACCTGTCTCGTTAAAAAAAAAAAGATTATTTATATTTCTTGCAAAATTATAAATATTATTGCTGTTATCTATTAAAATAATCACATCTGAAAACTAAGAATTCTGAAAATGTATAGACATAGTTTTGTAGGGTTTTTTTAATATTGAAGGAGTTAAGCTTTAAAGTTCAGTGAAAAATAGTATTGAGCTTAACAATGTTAGGTTTCTAAAATTATATTTTAATTGATTAATTCTTCCCAATGCTAGGCATTACTTCTCTTATAAAATTGACTTCTATTGAAATAATTTTACAGAATTAAAATGTCTACAAATGGCCAACAAATTTAAACTAAAACTCTCTTATGTTTTAATGGGGTTTTTTTTCTTCTGGTTACATGCCTACCAAAAAGGTAAATACAGGATTCATTTCCATGGAAGATGAATTCAGGCTTTTAACCTGGCCAATTGCCCATATAAACAATCTTTAATATTATTTGGTCATCATTTGGTAATTAAAATGGCAAATCACAACCATGTTGAATTTACATCCATGTGCCAAAAAAGTTATTTAGCAGATAACTGCAGATAAAGGAAATGTCTCTTTAACAGATTCTTTTAAGAATACATCTACAGGAAACATTCCCCTTTCACCCGGCCATAAAAACAAGAAGCAGTTGAACAGTGGCACCCAGAGGTGAAAAGTATATTACTTCAAGAGATTTATATTGTTAACCAGAACCTGTCTTTCAGCCATCCTTTCTGTCACTTCCAGATTTTTCTCTACTAACATACCAGAAATCATTTTGTCTTAGTGTGTATTGAAATGTCATATTTTAATAAATGAAAGTAAAGGGTTTTTGGGGAAAAAAAGTACTTCGGAACGAAACTGCATGTCTTCTCTCCTTCAAGACAATAAACCATCAGGTAAAATACCTTTTCAAGAATATAATTATCCACTCATCTACTTCCAGCCTATCAAAATCATTAGGAAAGCAGTAACTGTAACTACTACACAATTTCCATACATCTCGAATTTTTTTTTCCTATCTAGGTTAGGGTACTATTGCATATTCCTGAACCAAAATTATACCCCTGGGAAGATTTTAAGAATTCCATACTGAACCCTCCTATTAGCATTACAGCAGGAGGTAGAAATGGAAAGCAGAATGCTGGCCAAGCTAGAGAAAAGGAAATAAGAACCCTTCTTTTATTCTGCAGGAGATCTTAAAATAACAAAACCTATTTTGACCGAAATCAAAATGAGCCTGCGGATTTTTAATTAGACAAGCTCCATCCCCATGAACCTGCCGACCAGCAGCTGCCATGAGCAGTTGGCTGGCTCTGCGAGCTAACCCACTCGGCAGAAAAACTCTTCCCGGATCTAATCACCTTCGGGAGCAGCAAATGAACCTGGGTTTGTGGGGCCAGCGCAGGTCAGGCTTTAAGGGCCTCGGTCGACCAGAGTCTTATTTTCGTTCGGAAGCTGAACTGCGCACTGCGCCGGTGCAGGGGTCCGGGCGGCGGCTCCCGGTCCGTCTCGGATTCTCCTAGCTCCTGCGTCTCCGTTACCTTTTGTCAGACGCGCGCTTCAAGATCCCAGCTGCTTCTTTCTAATCACCCAAGAAGCAACCTCGCTGTGACGAGCTCCAGAATCAAGCTCGGCCCTGCTTATCTGCATCTCAGCCTGATGAGGCGAGATGGGCTTCCCTGAGCTTGAGCAAGGCCGGAGAGCCTGCCAGAGTCGCTGGCCACGACTTAGAATTGGAGAGGGGGGAACAGTGATAAGAATAAAATAATGGTACAAAGCCTCAGCCTCTCATCTTATGAAATAAAGGAAGTTGTCCCGGGGCTATTCAAAAGAAAAACAAAATAGCTCCCATTTCCTACTCTCAGAAAGCTACCTCAGAACGGGCCCTCGATTTTGCACAGCCGGCAGTGAGTGTTCCATTGTCTGCAGAAATGAGAACCGTGCTTGCAGGAAAGCCGACACTGAAACGATCTCCTTTCGATACCTGTCTCTTTTTCCCTTTCCCAAAAACGGCGGAGTCGAGGCCTAAATCAGTGTTTTGCCTTTAGCGCCCTGGGCCTCCGCGCCTCAGCTCCACCGCGGCCGCGCACAGGGCGCCGTCCGCGCTTGGGGACCCCGGCACAGGGACCTTGGGGAGGGCCACCGGCCCCGCAGCATGCGGGAACAGGCCTCGAGAGAGCTGCTTCTCACCGGTCGCCCTGAACTGTGCAGCCACTCACGGAAACGCACACCCGTTCGCGACCTGAGCCCCGGGGATGCCCCGTGCGGCGGGTGTGGGCGCCACCTAGTGGACGCTACTGACCTGGGGTGTCGTCAGGACACCGGGTTAGAGGGGATTCTTCGAGCAAGCCTTACAGCACAAGCGTCAAACACAACTCCTACATATGAGAGAGACAGAGACAGAGATAGAGAGAGACAGAGACAGAGAGACAGAGACAGAAAGAGAGAGGCAGACAGAGAGAGAGAGACAGAGAGAGAGAACAAAGCCAGCAAATGAGCCAAAAAACCCTCAAAAATTTCTCAAGACTTTTTTTCGGTTTTGATTTTAGTTTTGTTTTTTTGAGGTAGTCTATCTAAGTCAAGTTACCCAGACTGGGCTCCAACTTGTGACCCTCCTGCCTCAGCTTCCCAGAGTGCTCCAGACTGCTTTTTCAATATGAATTTTTAAATTTTACTATGTCAAGGTGCTTTATTATTTTTCTTTATTAATGATAACAAATAGGGAAAACGGAAAGTTTATTTTGGTGAAGGATTATTTTTCTATAATCCGCCAGACTGGATGCTGTATAGTTATGCTATGCCTTAATGGGTTTATGATTCAGAAAACCAACCCAAATGGAACTGAATTCTTATTTTCCTTACCATCCATTAATAAATTGGTTATAAAATATACCACCAACTATTTCTCCCTTCCTAACAATTCCCATTCCTGTCTTCCCCAAAAGAATTCTTACTTATTTCTCCCTCTCTGCATATACATATTTTCTGGAAGAAAGAATTTCAATTTTCTTCTTGGCAAAGTTGCATCAATTACTCAATTTAAGATCAAATTCAAAATGCAACTCCTGGAAAGTTGTCGCTCTCACTGAAATGCAATCACTTCCTACTTTATGTTTTCAAACGTATTTCACTCAAGTTGACACTAGCTTATGATTTCCTAATTGTCTCATCTACACAAATAGGACTTTTGTCCAGTCCTCGGCCTATTCAATGTCCTGAGTCTATTCAATGCTGAATAAATAGCTATGACACAAGTACATCACTGTCTCTGTCAAGGTCCGCTAAATACTCTGGTTATCCTGCCCTTGTGATGAGCTTAATATATCAACAACAATCAACATTTATTGAGCTCTACTAAAGCAGGTCCTATGTTAAGTGCTAATTGGGTGCTCACCACAGCCCTATGAAATAAATGTACTGCTACTATCCTTATTTTATACTTGAGAAAAGCCACCACGAAAGGTTAAGAAATTTCACCAAGGACACAGGTAGTAAAAGGTAGGGCTGAAATCCTGACCCAGTCTTTCTGACTTCAAAGCCTGTAGTTTCAACAATATCTATCTTATATGTTGTGATTAAACATATACTACACTCTGATCTTATTACTGGTTGTATTATATTTCAGTGATTCATTGGATAAAATTAGTTTAATTTTAGCCCCTGCAAAATCAGTTATTTCAGACAGTTGCTAAATTTACTCAAGTTGCTAATATTTTTACCATGTCTGTTCTTCAAAGAATGAGCTTACTATAATCAAAAGATTTGTACAGAGGAAGGAAAAGAAATTACTTTACTGATCAAAGGACCGATGTAGGAAAATATGCAAGCTGACTGCATTGAGCTAAGATTGCAACAATGAAGTGGAAGAGCCAGGGGAAATGGGAGATCTGGGAATAACTGTTTCTTTGTTTTTTCAGTTCACCTGACCTCTTTAAACATTTTAATTTAGAAAAGGTCCTCATACTCCTCAGCCCTGGTCTCATGAGTAAGCAAACCAGTGACCCACAGGAACCACCTGGGGGCTTCAGTTCAAGGGGATCGGAAAAGGCTCCCAAACCCCAAAATTCACAAAGATATGTAAAATTGCATTCTTAGAGATTCTTGAATCAAAAAAAGGGAATTTTCTCAAAAAGGGTCAACATTGGTCATAATTGCTCAACATTGGAAATAACTCGTAAGTCTCTAAGAAATAAAATGGACCAAGAACATGATGAATTCATGCAACAAAACATTATTCATCTTTGAAAATGAAGGTGTTAGTACCACCCTCAAAAGACAATTTGGACAAAAGAAGCGAGATATAGAAGAACACACATAATTGCACTTTTATACCATACTAAAACTGGCAAAATTTAACTTTGCTTTTTAGAAATGTATAACTCAGATGGGAAAACTAGAGAACTGCAAGGAAAGAGGTCATAAAAGCTGCCTGGGAGTTGCCTCCGAGAGGAGGAGCAATGTGGTAGAGCAAGGTTGAGCAACGCTCCATCCACTTGTTCTCTCAGAACTGTGTGAGCACATGCAATGGTCACTTCAAAATGTATCGCGAGAAAACATAACAAATTTGCCCATCATTTATGTTTTGTTGAGAGTAGACTTTTAGCTCTGTGATTGCAGGCAGTCGCGGAGGAGAGGAGAGAAGAGCAAGCATGAAGCCCATTCTAGAAGCAGGCAGTGAGGGTCTGCTGAGCCCAGGATGGGGCTGAGCCTGGTGACTCACCAGCTGCAGGTCTTGGAGTGACATGTAAACCCCTCAAGTCCTCTGCGCCTCTCCCTTAGAAGGAAGAACACACAGGGCCCCACATCATCAGGTCGTTAGAAGGCTCACACCAGGCACTTCATTTCCTTCACTGCCCATCAAGGGCTTTTTCTTTTCCCTGAGATTAAAGTTAGAGGAAGAAACCACAAGAAAGAAGAGAGGGCAGCCGAGGCCGCACTCAGTGTGTTTCCTCTCCCAACCTCAGCCCCAGGAGCTTCTTTGTGAACCACTTACCTGTGACCTCACTAGCAACCTCCGCAAGACCTTCTGGTTCCAGACCCAATGAACCTCCTTCGCTACACCATCTGATGCTGTGACTGCGCCTTCACCCCTGACACTTGGCTCCCTTGTTTGCTTTGATACCCTGAGTTGTTGCCTTCTCACCAAAACCCTCCCCACTGCCCAGGGCCAGGCCCTCGTCCTTTCTGTCTGCTCCAGCCACAGCAAGCCTCTCCCACGGTGTCACCGCAGCCTCCCCTCTCCAGCCCTGGCTGAGTGGAGCTCTTCTGCGGCTACATGAATGCACCTGCCCTAGTTTGGACTTTCCTGCCTTTCTACCTGGAAGGGCCTGACCTACTCTTCACCCTTACCACCAGCCAACACAGGACCAGGACAAATCAAGTTAAGTGATTGGTGATCTGGGCAAATTATCAGTGCCTAGCGCACCATCACAGCCTCGCCTCGAGATCACTCCCTCACCTGCTCCTTCTACTGGAGAAAAGAAATTAGGTATCACCTCCTTGTCTCTTAAGTCCTGTCTTCTAACATTTCTCAGTTTTGTCATAATTATTGTATTTTTCCACATATTTAACTAATCAAAAGCTCTACAGGTAAATTAAATCTATCTGATCTTGTTTGACAGGCAGATAGATAATTTGTTGTTGTTCAATGTATTTCAGGTGTAATTGGGCAGCCATGGGTTCAAATTCTAACTCCGCCACATAACTGGCTGTGGGACCTTGATTAAGCCATTCAGTCCTAAATTTCAGTTTTCTCATTTGTAAAATAAGAGTAAAAATACCTACTCCAGGGCTGGGGATTTAGCTCACTGGTGCCTGCCTTGCAAGCAAAAGGCCCTGAGTTCAGTTCCCAGTACCAAAAAAAAAAAACTTCACCATAGCTTTCTTGTAAGGCTAAATCAACTAATGAACACAAAGCACTTAACGTATTGCCCAGCACAAATAAGTACATAACAAATATTACCTATTGTCACTAATGCACAATTGAGACAGTTACTTAGCAGAATGTAACTTGTTAATTATTCATTATAGTGTTTTGTACTTTTCAAAACTAAAGGTCATCTTAGTGTTAAGAATAAGTGCTAACGTTGGGCATAGTGCCACACTCCCATAATCCCAGCACTCTGGAGGCTGAGGCAGGATTGCCAGCTCAAGCCCGGCCTGGGCAAAGCAGCGACTTAGCAAGACCTTGTCTCCAAATAAAAATAAATAGGAATAGAGCTTAATATGAAGGTATTGGGAGAGAGAGAGAGAGAGAGAGAGAGAGAGAAAGAGAGAAACATCAGTAGCTATGTCCCTAAACTGTTATGTAGAGATAGATACAGACGTATAGACATGTAACTCCTTTGCTTATTTAATAACTGAAAAATATCTGAACTATAGTAAATTAAATGAAAATATATATTCTACTCAGGGGCCAGGGATTTAACTCAGGGGTGCCACCGTCTGCCTTGCAAATGCAAGGACCAAAGTTCAATCCCCAATAACAAAAAAAAAAAAAAAAAAAATTTAGGTACTGAGCTGAGTGTGGTGGCACTTAACCTGTAATCCCAGCACTGTGGCAGGCTGAGAGGCAGGAGGATGCCAAGTTCCAGCCAAGCTTGGACAGCTTAGTGACTTAGTGAGACTATCACATAAAACACACACACACACACACACACACACACACACAAAAGGGCTGGAGATGTA